CTGCCGATCACAGCTGAGCCCAGCCTGACCTGGCTGCCTGTAGTTCTCCAGGCGCGATGTCTCCTGTGAGGTTTGTGGGTAGTTTTGCTGTTTGCCATGGAAACCACACCTTTCTCGAAAAGACTGCATGACTCGGGCCGGTTATCTGTGAAGAGAAGGGGTGGTGCAGAGGGAAAACAATTCAGATGGGCCATGTTCCACTCTCTCTGCCTCAACCAGCACCCCTCCCAGCCACCTTCTCACCAGCTGTGCACATATTGACAACCTCTGGGTCTGGGAGGTGTGCTCTGAAATCCTGCTTCCACAGTGCCTGCAGCTGAGCCGTGCTGAGAACTGCCAATGACACGGTCAGTCCAAAACAGACTGCACAGAGCAAGTCACAGGAATGACCACTCTAGGGCCCTCTTGCCAGCTCCTCCCCTCTACCCGCTTGTCTGTAGCACCACGCCCAGCCCTTGTAGACAGTTCAAATTAGCAGAGCAATTCCACTCTGTTCCCTGGGGCCCTACTAGATCCCATAATCTTAGTCTTTGAGTAGCCCTACTTAAGCATGACCCAGCCACACTAGGTACTCAGGAGGACCCCTCCCCAATCAGGGAGAGGCCGCTTGCCAGACCTGCTGTGACTGCACATACAGGAATCCACACATGTACAAAGGACCTATCAGACACATGGACATGCACGCTCACACACACCTCCTCTGCAGTGCCATCTGGACTCTGTCCCTTCTGGCAGATGTTGACTGGGGGCTGCTAAGCCAACTGTCCACATGAAGCACCCCCTCCTCTGACTTCTGGGAATGAAGGATGGCAGCACCTGCCTCCTGTTGTTGGTATCATAGGTGCATGAACAGATTATGTAGTCCAGAATGTGGGGATGCATACTAATAGGGGGCTGGCCCCTGGAGACCATACTACCCTGCCTCTTCTCTGTCCCTCCTGCTGTGCTGGCTCCTGATCTAGGGGATGGGCAGGTAGTGTCTCATCTACCAGGAGAGCAGGGGCTTTTGTGGACAGAGTCCTAACAGGGGCCTGTGCACCTTGGCTAGTTTTCTTTAACTGACTGGCTTGGTTACCCCAGAAACCCTCAGTGTTGGAAGACAGGAATGCCCCCAAGCTTCGAAGAAATCACAAAGGCTAGCTATTGAGCCTGTGCCCCACATGTCAGGGTTTAGCCAGGCTGAAGGCAGGAGGTACAGGTTCTCCGGGGCTAAGCAACTCTAGCCCCCAGGAGGGAACTGGGACTTTCCAGTTCTTGTTCCAAAACATACTAAGATGGAGGCGTGGCCTGCCTCAGACCACAAAGGTTTCAGGGGTTTTGTTTGTTGTTTGTTGAGAAGAAAATGTGAGGGTGGAGAGGTAGGTGCCTCACAAAAAGAAACACAAAGGTGTAAGAGAGGTAGGAATGGAGAGGTTGCACAGGCAGGGCGGTCCAGCCTCCCTTTAGTCTGGATCCCACAAAGGTGCCTTCGTTTCTTTGTCTTAGAATTGCCCCAGGGAAGGGAGCAAAAGAGGACCTCTATCCAGGGGGACAGGGCATGCCCAGGCATCCAGATAACCCCAGAGCTCACAGCAGTAGATCTGATCCACATGCCCCTAAAACAACTTTCCTCCTCCCCAGATTGTTAAAGCTTCCTGCTTGCCCCACCCACGGCTCATCACATGTCTCTAGCCCCTCACTAAGACAGTGCCCACCTACCCTTGGGATCTAGTCCAGTCCTCGTGGTTTAGATGAAATACCCCAAGCTGTGTTAATCCAGAGGGGCTGGAGGCAGCCATCTATTCAGGTGGATGACCTGGTGCCTTCTGTCTCTACCTTCCTAGAGCAGAGCACACTCTGGATGTAGGTAGATGTCACCCCTGCTCAGGACTGCTGGTAGGCCACTTCTAAGACCAGCACACAAAATGCCAGTTCCCTGTCTTCCCTGGGTGTGTGTTTATACATACAAACACGGACTGCTCTGAAGGCTACATCTGCCTCCCTCATATATCTGCACAAATTACATTTCGGTTTTTATTAGTCCCAGATCACTCTCATTTCCTGCTGAGTGTCCTGTAGATATCATTAACATTTCTACGGCTGGAGTTGTGTGTGCGCGTGTGTCTCTGTGTGTGTCTCCCCCGCCAGTCCCACTGCCACATTCCCAAAATGCATTACCAGAGACATTTTCTAAAAAGAGGGGAGCCATGAACAGTGCCCGTCCCTTGCAGTCTCTATCCCATCTAATCAGTCCAGCTGCTGCACGTCTTAATTTCCCCACCCAGGATTACAGGCTGCCTTTCTGATGCACACAGGCAGCTGGATGTGGAAAGCATCTATCTCTAAGAAAAGACAGTTCAATTAAAATCCCAGAGGCCCAGTGCCTGTTGGAGGACACAGGCAGAAACATGTGCCCCAGCACCACCCTCCAACCCTGCAGAGGGAGGGACAGAAACAAAGGCTCAGGCACGGTGGCATCCTAGCTGCCAGCTTGGAGCTGCAGAGGTCCTGCTGGCTCTGCCAGGAGAAAAATGGGGTGCTGCCTCTTTAAGAGCCACCTCAGGCTTGCAGTGGGCTCTGTTGTTATTAATTATTGTGATTATGATTATTTTTCAAGAGCACCAGGAAAGGACATGGAAGGGACGAGAGGCAGATAGCAAAGGGCTGGGGTGGGCAGCATCAGAGAGCAGATGGAAGAACGAATTCCCCCACAGGTAATGGTGACCTTTCAATATGGAAGAAAGAAGCAGCTGAGGTGGCTGGACTAACAACCCTAAAGGCTGGGAAAGGGAATCTTGCCCCCAGCTTCTTCCCCTCCCCCTTTCCCTGGGAACTTCCCAAGACTTCCCCTCAGCTACCCTGGCAGAATATGGCAGGCAGCTGATGGGAATCCAGAGCAACCCTCTTTAGCCCTAGGGACATGGATACTCTAACCTTGTAACCACTGGTTACTCCAGATACTGGATCTTCGTCCAATGAGGCCAGATCTCAAGATCTTTGTGGAACTGGACGGTGCTTGCAGTCTGGACAACTTCCTTTGACAGAGCATAAGCCACAGACACAAGCCCTCAACACATCCATGAAGCTGTGCTGAAGACATAGCAAGGTTGAGCCTAGGGCACTGCCTTTCTCCCGAAGACTCTAGGATAGGGACCTGGCCGCCGAGCACCTTGGTGCTTTATCCTGTCCCTTTTATAACTAAAGGTGAGGTTCAGAGGGGCTAAAGACTTGTTTGTGACCCTAGCTGAGCAGTGGAGATAAACCCCTCTCTTGGATACCACAACGGAAATTCCCACCCTGAAAGAGAGTGTCTTGGTACAGGACACAGCAAGAAAGCTGAGCTGATTTCAGAGCAGGTGAACATATGCATAGGCACCCACCAGACTCCATGCCCCTCTACAGCAGGCCAGACCCAGCCTGCAAGCCTGACTATTTCTGTGGTGCTAGGGACAAACCCAGGACCTTCAGCTTGTTAAGCAAAGTCTATCAGTGAGCTGCACCCTAACTCCCAGCAGTAAAATGTACTCATAGTATCTGTGCAGCCTCCTGTGACTAATCATTAGTCCAGAGCCTCTTCAGGCCCCAGGGTTGGCCCCCATCATACTGTAGGCCAGAGCTGCTATTGCTCCCAGTCGGCCCTGTAGGAATGTTATCTTGAGGAAAAGAGGAAGAAAAGTGGAAAGAGGGATGGAAGAGACATGTTCCCACTTCTCTGGCAGCCCCCAATCATTGGCCCTCTCACCTACCTATATAGTTGTTTTATGACCTGATTGAAAGCTACAGGGAAAATGGAAAGCCTAACCTACTCAAGGCCTGAGAACCCAGAGAGGAGGCAGGGAAGGTTCAGATATTCAGGGAGCAATGGACAGGTGAGACCCCCATAGGGCCTCCCTATCTGTTAGGCTGGGAGATGGCTCAGTAGGCAGGAGAGCTTGCTGTACAAGCATGAGGACCTGAGTTTGGGACCCTAGCACCCATGCAAAAAGCTGGGCATAGCTGTATGAGCCTGCAATACCAGTAGCAAGGGGGAGGGAGAAGAGGCTGGAAACAGGTATGGCCTGGTCTTGCTGGCTAGGAGCCAGGGCCAGTGAGACTGTCTTAAGAAAATAAGGTGAAAAGCGGTAGAGGAAGGCACCAGAGGTCCTCTTCCACATGTTTCCACAAGGGTGCCCTCACCGTTACACACACACACACACACACACACACAATAAATAAATAAATAAATAAATTATGTGCCCAGGGTGAGCCTCGAATCATCAGTCATTCCCAGCTGTTTTGGAGGCCTTTGCCAATCTTTATGGCTTGGCTTGCCTGGGGGGCAGGGATGAATCTCCATGGAACACACAAGAGAAGTCAGACACCACAGGCTAGGCTAGACTCCTTGGGCGAGGGGCTAGCATCAGGAAGGGACTGATGGACCTGCTTAGGGCAGGGGTGCCAGTGGTGGTAAGGCAGCTCCACCCCAAGACCATCCATGCTGGCAACACCTTTACAGGGTTGGTGTGCCCTTTACAGAGAGGGTGTGGGGTCCTGAGTAGCCAGAGGCAGGTGAAGAAGCAGGCAGTAGAAGACAGAGACAGATATAGAAGGCTTGCTTGCCTAGCATGCAGTCAGCATCTCCATCACTGACAGAAAATTAGCAGGGTGTAGTGGCATAAAGCTGGGATCCCAGCATCTGGGATCTGAAGCAAGAGGATCAGATCTCAAGCTCAGGACCAGGCGTAGAACTTGGTGGTAGAGTATTTGTCTAGCATTCATGAGGCCTTAAGCTCAATTACCAACACTGTAACAAGTCAGCCTGAGCAACACAACAAAACTAACTTAAAAAAAAAAAAAAGCCTCAAAAGAGGCTGGGGATTTCCTAAGAGGCTGAATCTGAGTTCTCTGGAGGGTGTTTGAGAAGGCCCCTTCCAACTCCTCTTTCCTGGTATGCTAAGGCACTGGAGTGGGTTCTAATACCATGCCCATTGGCCCTGTACCAGTTCTTAGACACAACCCTCCATGTCTCTTTCTAGGATGCAATGGGTCACAGGCTGGATGACCTCAGGAGCAGGGACCATAATCCAGCTGACCCTGTGCCCACCATTAGGGCTATCCTATCTGTAATCACCTCAGCTGCTACTGCTTCTTCATCAGTCTCTTGTGGATACTTTTTGTTTTAGGTTA